CTGTTTTATATTTTATTTTGTTTAATTTCAGAATATTATGGTGGTACAAATGTTTTTTGTTACAATTGCTTTTGCAGAGATTGCATGAAAGTTATAAGTGTGCCCATACCCATCACCAGATAGTGTGCATTATACCTGTTAGGTATGATTTTACCCATCCTCTCCTCGCCCCCCCATCTGTTTGATTTCCCTTGAGTCTGACTCCCATATGTGCACATGAGTGTTGATCAATTCATTCCAATTTAATAGTGAGTACATGTGGTGTTTGCTTTTCCATTCTTGTGATACTTCACTTAGGAGAATGGTCTCCAGTTTCATCCAAGTTGTTACAAAAGGTATTAGTCTTTTTAATGGCGGAGTAGTACTCCATGGTATACATATACAACATTTTAATTTAATAATTAGAATCATAATGTTTATGTGTGCCTACTTTTTTCTACTCAGCCTTATATTTGTGAAATCTATCATATTTCCTGTTTCAGGGTAGTTGTATTTACTTCATTTTCATCTCTGTATGAAACTATAGATCAAGAATATACAATAATGCTATTATCCATTCTCCTGTTGATGGATACTTGTGTTCTTTCTCATTTGACCTGTTTTCAATGATGCTGCTATGGACATTCTTGTACACATGCACATTTCTGTCAAATACATGCCTAAAGTATTGGCTCAATGAATATGCTCAGTTTCAGCTTTAGTTGATAATGCCAAATTATTTTTCAAAGTTATTGCACTAATTTACATTCCCATCAGCAAAATACATATTCCTATCAGATTCTCACAAACACTTTGTACTATTGGCCTTTTAAGTTTTAGCCCTTCTGGTAGGTATATAGTGGTACCTCATTGTCCAGCAGGACAGTAGTGTTCCTATAAACACGGTTTGGTAAATAATGGTCTAGGAAATAAGAAAATGTGGCCAGAGTCTAGGTATGTTTTCATTGAGTTTATAGATATTTAAAACAGCATTATTTGGCTATAAAGCTTATAAAATCAAATAGAGTCAACCAGAGTTATACCCCCTACCCACAAAGTTTCTGAAGACCTCAAGGAACTGAAAGCTGAGGGAATGATGAGATTAACCCAAAATCCCAACCAGAGACTAATAGCTCTAATGTACTCTGAATTTCTGTGATTTGTGCAAGGTAAGTTTACAAAGTATGAGATACCACTAAGGTTCCAGAAGCCTTATGTTTGTAATCAATGACTATTTCACCTGAACCTTCTCAGCATCACCTTCCTAAAGACCTGAAAATTACCTGTCATTCCATCTCAGAAGGCAAAGTACAAAAGTCACAACAAAGTTAGAATCATAGCAAATAATATTGCCCTTCTGGGCACTTTTGCTTTTTCCAGTTTTCTATTTACAATGACAACATAAAATTAGTTTCTTTAGCAACAAAAAATAAAGGTCTCTTTGCTCACATTCACTTGTCTTTTTTCCTGTGAAGTATTATTGCCACAGCAATTTTCTTCTTTTGTTCAAACCAGTTCTCATTAAAGTGTGGCCTAGTATCACCTAAGAAAAATCAGCTCCAAACTCTTTTGGATATCTGGATACCCCAAAGTGAGCATTAGTATGAATATTCTACTAAATATTATTACTAGTGGTCAAAGAGGTGTGGAGTGGTAGGGACCGGCAGAGTTAATGCACATTTAGTTAGGAGTTGGTGAGCAGAAATAATTTACGACCAGAGAAGTAAGCCTGTAGAAAATAGAACCTTTCATGATAGAAAATTTATAAAACAAAACAATAAAATGTCATGAATTTTCACTAAATATGTGAGAAGCAATGGTCTAAATTAGTGGAAGCTTATTTCCCTTATGTTCCTCCAGCACCTGGTAAATATTTATAGCATATGCGTTATCTTACCCTATTATAATTGCTTGTGTGTTGGGATGATATGTAAAGTAATAATTTATGTGTTTTTACTTCCCCCATATTTTCTTGATTCTTCATCTGCAAATGTGTATAATAACACCTCATATGGGTGAAGGTTAAATGAATATGTGTAAAGCACGTAGAACAGTGGCTGGCACACAGTACTAACAGTGGCTGGAACACAGTTAGTTTTGTTATTATTGTTACTATTATTGAATTTCTTCCTTGTTATCTGAGCTTCTTTCCCCAGCCCCCTACCTCCCAAATCCTGGCCAGATACCAAGGCTGTCATGGACTAAATGGAATGGTCATCGGAAACAGACAAAAGAATCATCAAATTCTTGTGCTTTAAATTTAAAAGTTTTCGATTTACAGGTTGGGGTGGAATTGTGCCTCCTCCAAAATGCCCTAACCACTAGCAACTGAGAATATGCCCTTATTTGGAAATAGGGTCTTTACAGGGCTAATCAAGTTAAAATGAGGTCTTTAGGGTAGATCCTAACCCAAAATAACTGGTGCCTTTAAAAAACAGGAAATTTGGACACAAAGAGAGACAAGACACAGAGGGAGGACTATACAAAGAGACACAGAGAGAACACAAAGACAAGGACCAGAGTTATGCTGCCACCAGCCAAAGAACATCTGGGATTCCCAGAAGCTGATAGACAAGGAAGGATCCTTCTCCTATAGCTTTGAGAGGAAGCATGGTCCTGTTGATAACTTGATTCTGGCCTCCAAGCCCCCACCTCTACCCCACCCCCTCCAAATATGAAATAATAAATTTCTGAGTGTCTAAGCCACCGGTATGGTAGTTTGTTACAAAAGCCCTAGTCAACTCATACATTAGATATAAAACAGAAAGATTCAAGAGGAAAACATGTGGATCCAGTTTACCTCTGGCTCACAAAGAAGAGATCCAGGCAAAACTAATTTGAGTCTGAAAAGGAAGTTTGTGAGGAAGCAAATGAGCCCAACTCAAATGGAGTCTCTGATAATGATCCCCTACATAGTTTGCCCACCCAAGATTAACTAAAAAGATAGAAAGATGGAAGTTGGATTATTCAAGTGTAGCAGAGATTGTGCCTCTCTTGCTTGAAGCCCACAGAGCACATTACATCTCATGAGGTAGAAGCAGTAGAACAAAGATGTCTATGCAGAGTGCCTGGGGCAGGAAGCAAGGCTTAAGTCAGCCATGACAGCCCAAAGGACCCTGGAAAGATGCCACTTTTTTAAAATTCCCTCCTCCCCCAAGGGCAGGGAAAAATTACCTGAAAGGAAGAGCTGACAACAAGGGGATACCACCATGCAAAGTTGCATGGATGACACTCCCAGGGCCACATGGGAATGTGGGTACACTGGTAGATGTGGAGGGAAAATAATGTTCATGCACCAGACAGGATTCTACACCTGAGTAGATGCCTACATAGAAAAGGGGGAGGTCAGGGACCATATTCTGCTTCCTCCATATTTGTAAATATTCCTGAACTAACTTAGATCAGTCTCAGTGAGAAGGAGAGAGAGAAGAGGAAAATCATGCACTAGTTTAGTGTAAACCTGAAATAACTGAGAAAAGCCTTAAGCAATTTAGTTTACCTGGAACTGACTAGATTTATTTTCATTTTGCCACATCAGGCAAAATGGGGACTGCAATTAAAAACTAAGTATGTAAATAACATTTCTTAAGCACATGGCTTGAAAATATGCTATCAGCTATATTTGTCTCTCTTTATTCTACGAGCTCTTTAATGATAGGCACTTTGTTTCTCTTTATCTTTTCAAATCTAATATAATGCTTAACATAGTTGTCTATCCAAATAGTTGTTTCATCAATATGAACATATTTAATTAGTTCATGATAAATTCCAACTAAATTATAGTTGCTTGCTCTAAAGTAAATATAAAAAGTTAAATGAAAAAATAATCTTTTAGCCGGGCGCGGTGGCTCACGCCTGTAATCCTAGCTCTCTGGGAGGCTGAGGCGGGCGGATTGCTCGAGGTCAGGAGTTCGAAACCAGCCTGAGCAAGAGCGAGACCCCGTCTCTACTATAAATAGAAAGAAATTAATTGGCCAACTAATATATATATAAAATTAGCCGGGCATGGTGGCGCATGCCTGTAGTCCCAGCTACTCGGGAGGCTGAGGCAGCAGGACTGCTTGAGCCCAGGAGTTTGAGGTTGCTGTGAGCTAGGCTGACGCCATGGCACTCACTCTAGCCTGGGCAACAAGTGAGACTCTGTCTCAAAAAAAAAAAAAAATAACCTTTTGATTGAGAAATTTAATAACTGATAAAAGAAAATTTTATTTTGCTATGTATTGTGTTTTAATATCCTTAAAACAACACATTTTCTTAAATATTTTAAAAGCTGAAAGATATCATATACAACCATTGATTTGAATTATCTCCTGTAAGATGAATTTCAATAATTTCAATAATTTCTGGCATCATACACACCCCAAAAGAATCCAAAGATAGAAGTTAACTAGGCTTCACTGAAGTATAGAATATTTTTCCACATTTAGATTTTTTTCGTAAATGTTTTACCAGAAAGCAACACAAAAAGACTATCAAGCAATATGTATTACACTGTTCTCTAAAGATTCAGATTCACATTGAAAATAACTCCACTCATGAAGAGAAAAAGTTTTCAGAAGACCAGAGTAGGCCACAGGAGAGATTTTACAAAACTCTACACATAAGGTGTAATATAATCTAAAACCTCAATTTTCCAACATAAATGTATAGCTTTTCAAAAAATTTTAGTAGTTTATGGGTGAAACAACTTTGTGAAACAAAATGATAACATTTAGAAAAAAAGTATTACTGAGATGCAAATAACTGAATATGCAAAATAATTTCTTTGTACACACTCATATGTAGTAGAGAGGTTACTTTTTTTTAGTGTGTTGGGGAATCTTACCCTGCATCGCCTCACTGTTGTCATCTAAGGGCACTTTTCATGATTAACAATGCTTCCACACAGGTTTACCTTCCTCCCTGTGATAGAGGATAATGGGAATGTTTTTTCTTTTATTCAATTTTGCTCGTCTGCCAGTAGATGGCGATACCACGTTAAGTGCCGCCAGCCTTTTTTTTTTTTTTTTTTTTTCAAAGCTGTTTTCTGATATATGTTGGGTACCATAGAGTGAATCTCAGAACAGGAAGCGGAGGCATAACCAGAGAGGATTCTGGAAAGGTCTCTTTGTTTTCTTGTCCACAGAGAAAGCAAGAGAAAAAATTGTAATTAATTTGTAAACCTCTGTGGCCAAAAATCTGAACAACTGCAGGGAAAGCCACGGTATACTCTAACCATCTTGGATGCTGGGCTTTGTTCTGCTGTGATTCCTAAGGCTCTGTTTTATCAGGTAAGCTGACAAAACATTTAATTATTTGCACCACAGAATCTGGCCGCTGGGTCATTTTTCTCATTTTAAAATCAAATTCATCCTGCTATTTTTAACCTACTGTTGTTAAAATGTAAAAAACAGGAACTAAAGACATCATTTGATGTGTAAACTGCTTACTATTTCTTTATCTTTCAAAGGACATAGAGCCTCTATCTAGAAATGGTGACTTATGGAACAGACTAGGCACCAATGATCTTGTGTTTTTGAAATATACAAATGCTTATGATTCATTATATTCAGAGAAAATATTTTTAATATACTTAAAGCTAACCTAATGGGTTTCATGGTTCTATATCATCTATTTAAATGTCCAATGTGTCCAATATTTTTAAAACAGAAATGTATAGTGAAATTGGAACTATCATTCTTGTGCTTTAGTCTTTCATTTAACAGCTTTGGAGAGGCCATGCATATAGGGAGTGATAACAATATAGAAGTGTTTGGCTATTTGAAGCACATTATCATTTTTCTCTAGAATCTGTTTTCATAGAGGGAAAAGAGCACTGATACTAATCATTGAAAAGAGATTTAATCCTATAATAATAAAATTATTCCTGTTTGCCTTGTAATAAGCTATTTCTTTATCTTTTAATATATTCATTTTACAAAAATACTTACCTTTTCGTTTATTGATTTAAAAGTGTATTTCCTGATGAATTGTCCCATAAGCATGATAGATTTCTGTTTCTTTTTTTCTGTGTAGATTTAATGACTGGTTATTATTATTATTACTATTATTATTGATTACAAGGAAGAGCCACTTGAGCCAAAAAAATAATAATTCATTTTATGAGCTATATTTTCTGTAATTGTATTTAATATATTTTATAGCATAAGCATAAATGTTTCAATTAGTTAGAAATCACATACTTAGAGTAGGAAACTATTGACAGAAAATTTATGAATATTAACTGAAAGATGTTTTAAAAATCATACAAGTTTTTAAAATATACAACAAGTAGTGTAATGTAGCTTATGAGGACAAAGATAAAGGCATTACTGTTTGTAGAAATTTTCATGGAAACAGTTCATCACATTGACTCCAAATAGTGTGTTCCCAAATGAAATAAAGACCTCTGATTTCAGCCAGGGTTTCCAGACAATACTAGCTGAAAGGGCTTCAAAAATAGGACTTGATGGCTCTGAACTGTAATTTGTAATAATATGGTAAAAAATATTGATATCATACTTAATATTTTACATTGAGTAGCAATAATAGTCCCCTGAAAACATTTCAAAATAGTGGTTGCCTGAGAGGAAAGCCCTGAGTCTTGTATATTTCCAAAGAACTCCCACCAGAGGATATAAAGAAAACTGTTTCTTTGGACAGTGTTCCCAGAAATGGCTGTTAATTGACACCAGTGTATTGTATGCACCATGCTTCTCTACAGGTGACTGAACATGAGTAACTTTGCTCTGTGTAAACACCAGAACTGGTCTTGATTGAACTGGTTTACATTTATGAATGGATGCTTGTATTTTGGCCCCAAACGTTAGCACTTTTTTTTTTCTTGGTATAGTTGCAACGATCTCTTAGTTTTTCATCTATACATGTGGTCACAGTGTGAAAAGCAAATGCACACAGAGTTCTTCACTAAATGTGCTCTTTGAAAATTTTTAGAAATCAAACCTGTTTTGATTTAATGATGTATGGGTTTGAATATCTTATTATTTAAAAGAATCTAATGGTGGTTTTGTTTGTAAGGTTGAGAGTAATACTGTAATTTATTCGTGTAGCAAAGATAAGTGAGTTGAACTCTGAGCTGGAAATCTTGGAGTCTGGTTCAAGTTTTGCTACTAATGAGCTTTGTCACCTCAGAAAGACACCAAGTATCACTGAAATGCATGTTCCTTGCTTGTAAAAGACGGAAATTAGAATCAAAGATATGTAGGGACATTTTTCATTTTTAAAATTCTGTGATTCTAATTTATTTGGATTTTCTCCAGTTGGTTTCTCACCTTAATTATGATACAACTTTAATTGATTCTCACTGAGTTGTATATTATGATGAATTTTGTGCTAAACATAAGAGAAACAGAGGAATAGGGATGTTTTAAAGGTTCTTGGCCAGTTCCTTCTGTGGTGGAAAAGGTAGGGAACAATAGGGAGAAGTAGTTAAAAGCAAGAGCTTGGCAGGTTGAAGCCTATCTCTGCTATTAGTTGACAAATTGTTTAAAGTTTCTGAGCCACTATTACATCTTTTATAAAATAGGAATAATAGGTCCTACATCACAGTATTATATAACTGAAACAATGGCTGTTTAGTGCTTAGTATATATCCTGGAACATAGTCACATGCCTCCTTTTTCTCTACTCCTGCCTTCCTAGCCCCCATCAAAAGGACCAGGACAAAGATAAAGGCAATAAGTTTTCATCATTGCTATTATTGTCATTATTAGTGCTTGTGATATAGTATCTTCTACCACAACAAGAAGGATAGAATGAAACCGCCAAGAAATTCTGTAGCTGAAAAGTGAATAATTTTCATCCTGGAAGAATGCCCTTACTGAAACATCAACAGCAAATGTGTTACCTATAATCATATCAATTAGTGCTAACATCTGAACAGTTTGTAAAACTCTCATAATACCTTCTAGAAGACAGTTCTTTATGCCCAGTGATATACTGTCATGGACTCCACTTCAAAGACTTTCTTCTTTTTAACAAAATAGAGGCAAGGGGCTATGTTGCACTTTGCTTAATAGGATATACTGATTAGACAAAAGGCCTCTGTGAAGATTCACAAAGGCAATTTAGATTTTACCAAAAGTCACATTTAAATGCCAAGTGATTTCTACTATGACCACCAGATTACCGAGTCTAAATCCTAGGAAAGCCTTGGCTATGGGATCAACTTACAAACTCTCTACTGCTTAAAACTTACTAATAGTATAATAAAAGGTGGAAAGGCAAATTGTGCCTGGGGAAATGGTTGACATACTGCAAAATCCCTGCTTCCCTCCCAGGGTTTTTTCCTAAGTGCAGCTTTGCACTCCTGACAGCTATAGGCTACTGGAATCTTTGGGAGCTAGAACAGGGATGACCTTTCAGCACTCCAGGCTTCCTAATCCTTCCCTTCAACCACCCTGGGCCTCTTTAAACTGACTCAAGTAACTGAGCTGTCATCTTCATCTTCATGGCAGTCAAGATGACTTAATGGACTCATGATTAGGCAGATCAGAGATGGCTAAGAGTTTGGGAGACTTAAAAATACGAGGGTAATGTTTCTCAATTAGACAAATGCTGTGCTTGCAATTTGTTGTTAGTCTATCTCCGTTGGCTCTAGGTCATTGCCAGCTCTTATGAGTCCTTGTTTTTAGAGTTGAAGTGAACTGTATAAGCATTTAAAGACATATTTCTTTCACTGAAAAATGAACATGTGATTAGATAGTGAAATTTCTTCACATCGATTGCTGGACGGATTACTTTTTTCTCATCATTCATGTATAGAAGCATTGTGAACTCACTGAATTAATGTTTCATTTGTCATCTAAAAACATATTATTCATTTCCACCTTAATATTTATGGTCGCTTTTTACCAGTTTTCCAAAACTATGATGGTTAATTACTCACCTATTGTTGAAATATAATTTAAGATAACAGTTTGTTTCTGTACTTGTAGGTTCTATTAATATTTTTAGATGTTGATTAATTTTAATTTGAAATTATCTTTGCTTTCTCTTAAATTTCACCCTATAAACAACTTCCATGGCAAGTCAGTATAGAACCTGACGTCTGAACTATTTTATTTCTTTAGGTAGATTGTTTTTTGAGGTAGTCATAAAATTCAAGAAGTAAAAAAGCCAATCATATTGTTGCTTTCTGTTGCAAATTCACACATTTATCTTTGATTAGAAAACTACTTTTAGTTCAGTTCCTGGCAATATTTTTCACTCTGAGGTATAGCTAACGCGTTATTGGGTTATGTTTGAATGGATTGTAACAAATACAGACACTAATTTCAGAGCAGACTAGTGTTAATTTTCATTTACTTAATAATACGGCAATAAATAAAATCTTGCTCTTGCTAAGCAAACTTTGTTCTGTGAACTGCCTGATGGGCACCAGCTCTTTGCGTATCTGAAATTTGAATCTACAACCAAAGGTATAATCAGCCACAGTAGACGAATTCCTTAAAATTTGTGTGAATACCTACTTAACTGGATACAAGTTTCAATGTGCCAAGTATCTACTGATTAATTTTTTTTTACACCTCATCCCTTTCCTTTCATGATTTGAAGTGATAAACATTACGGAAGGAATTTTGGAACATTATGGAAGGAATTTTAAGGATGTTTTTGACCAAGATATATGAATAAAGAACAACTTAAAAGTAATTTACAAGCAGGTTTATAATATTAAAATACAATGCATATAGACATATGCTGGGGTGATTGTATAATGAAATTTTGAGGGTTGTTTTAGTTCAGAGAAACCTTGTAAAAGTCCGGAGTTATTTCTGTAATAATTGAATTAGGCTTTCATTCTTTTAGACACTGCATATAAGGAGCCCTTCATGTGATTAAGCTCTGTGCTGGAGCAAAGTGACAGAAGTGATGGCCTCTAAATTATTAAAGAGTGGTTTAATATTGTTTTATTCAATGGGTTAATTCAAAGATGGGAAGTCACTCTTTAAATAACTTTGGCCATTTTCTGCCAAGAAGCTCCCTTACGGGAATTCTAATCTCCTGATATTCAGCATATACTTTATTCTTACTTGGGTTGTACAGAACATTTTGTCCTTTTCCTGTCCCAAGAGTTTGAACTGGAACAATTCACTAAATCCAATTCTTCCTTCTAATAATTCATAAAATCTCAATTTTTATTTCTAAGAAGTGACATTGTGCTTCTGGACTAGAATGCAACATATTCTTGCATAAGATTTAATAGAACACATTTTGTGGGCTTAAGTCTCTACGTGAGAACTAGTCACCTATTCATTAGTTTCTCTGTCTCCTTGGTGTTTCTGCTTGTGACATTTATGTCTCTCTTTATAAGTTATTTTTGTTCTACCTAACTAAAGATGTTCCAAAGTATTCTGAGCATTTTCTTTTCATGGAATTTATGTCAGGGTCGGAAATGACCTTAAAAAATAAATTCTAGATGAAACAAACACCAATTCCTATTTGGGAAAGTGGGTAAGAGAAATGAGTGAAGCCATTCAGGTTGGGACTCAGGAGCTAAAAGGCACATGCATGCCCTTTTGAAAAAGGAGAAACTCCTTCTCGGTGCTAGGAGATTGTTAAATCAAAGGATTTCTCTTAAGAAGCTAAAAAATCCAGTAGAGATTTCCTTTCTGTTAAATGTCATCTATTTCAAATTATTCACAATATCAGATAGAGCCAATAAAACATACCTACAGCAGGATATAGCCAAGATATAGGCTATGTTTTTTTTCCCTTTTGCCAATCCAACCAGAATGTTTGTCAGTGAGGAAAAATAAACCTTATGGACAGGAAATTGCTGACTGTATTTAGAAGCACAGCCACATTAGTACTCAGATTTCTTATTTGCTACTCTGGGCTCCTTCAGCCTGTTTCATTTCAAATTCTTGAATCCATGGATTACCTCCCTGGTTTCTGTTTTTCCTGCTGATATCTCCACCACCACTGCACTTAGCATCATAGATCATTTTTTTTTCTTGTTCTTTCTTTCTTATTATTATTTAGAGATGGGAAGGTCTCAGGATGGCCTTGAACTCTTGGGCTCAAGCTATCCTCCCAATACTCCCGCCTCAGCCTCCTGAATAGCGGGGACTATAGGCATACCACTATGTCTGACATTTATTTTTCTGTCCCTCTTAATACTTCCCTTACTGTTGATATCTTGTTCTTGATGTGTCAGTTGTTAGGTAATATTCTTACTTTTGCTCTGTTCTAAAACTATTAAAATTTGTCTTTAAAGCTTAAAATTTAGGGCAAACATTTTTCCTTTAGCTATGAAATGGAGAAATATTATCGATAGGATATTTACATGCCCTTGGGTCCTATATGGTCTCAAAGTTCTAAAAATTTTATCATCTTTCATAATACAGTTAAAATAAATCCTTTCTTAATATTTGTTTTCAATAATTGCATTAGTCTTACTATCAATATCTTTATATATTGATACCAAAAATTAACATATAATATTAAATCAGCATTGGAGGAACAGGCAAATGTATAATTCACAATTATATTGTGAATCATACTTTTTTTTATTCTTGATCAGTAAATGGTAAATGAGATAGAAAAAATAAAATGGGAAATGAGAAAAAATTAGATTTGTAAAACCTCACTAATAAAAATGACAGGAGAAAAAAACAGCTGAAGGGAAAGAGATATGCAAACATGCTGAGAGAAGACAAAGAGGTCGAATGCTATGAGTTTATTCATAGAGTGTCCCCCTGCTGTGGATGTACCTGCTTGGCTTCAGCTTCAACAAATTCAGTTAGGTTCTCTGGGTATAGTGTTTGTTTAAAAGCTTTGGAAGTGTAGCGCAAATGTGTAGCCAGTTTTGAAACCCAGTTGACTAGAGGAAGGGAGAGAAAAATAAGAAAAGCCAATGAAAACCTGGCTAGAGAAGTGAAAAAATAGCTGACAATTGATTTTCAAAATTCAAAATGCTATTAGTGAGTATGTATTAAGTAAAGACTGAATGCAAGTACTTAAGAAAATAAAAAATACACTCGTCCATTTCTCCCTTGGTTGAACAAGTTGGCATTTATACTATGTGTTTAAGTAATTTTATATTTCAAATTATTGATTTCTTACCCTTAATTCTGTGTGAAAGTTGACCTAACTGCTGGTATGGTATCTTTTACAGGCTAACCATGTAAACAGTTGTGCTCACTTGGGAGTAAGCGTCCATAACATCAATTTGTACAACCATAGATTCACTCTCCTTTTGATTCTGCACCTTAAAAATTGCTGCCTTGAGGATTAAATCTTAAATAATCAAATAAGAGTAGGTCTATGGAAAGATACTCTTTGAATGTATAAGTCATCCAGCTGGAAATTGATTTTTAATTTTTTGAAAATGCAATTTTGGCAGATTAAGAGGAAAGGCAGTTTCTGTAAACCAATACATTTTTTTAAAGCCAAAATGCATTTTAAAAGGTATTTTCAGAAAGTGCTATTTCTGAGGGAAAAAATTAATCTAATAGCTAAGTGAAATTAATAATTAATTGCATTTCTTAAAAAGAATCTCATTCCTAAGGTGAGTCAGCTTTTGCAGCTCTGTAAGGAGACATTCCCTGGGTTAACACTCCAGTTGCTGTTACATGTTGGTTTTCCACAGCTGGGGAGGTGACATAGAGGACAACCCTCTATGTCCTTTAGAGCAGTTTATGTCCTAAAGTCGTTTTTCTATAGGAGTGTCATTTAATATGAATATTTAACTATACTTTCTTCACTACCTCTGACATGCTGTCAACCTGGTCAGTAAAATTACGATCATATAGAAAAGATCTTTTAAATCTCAGTATGGGAATATCCATATTCTGAAGCAGCTGTCTTGTGCTTCTGTGGTAACAGAAGACATACATTACCATATTCAAGGCCAGGCTGAAGGTGAACGTCTGTGATACTGTGCTTGGGTTCTCCCACTGAGATTGGATCACTCACTTTTGAAAAAATTACATCCTACCTTTATAAAGAAAGTATTTGGGAGGTCTGCAATAAAAATATAAAGAGCAAACTAGTAAGATATTAATAAGAATGAAAGCCTGAACCAGGCTGAACCAGTGGGATTTTGTTTTGTTTTGTTTTGAAGAAGGGTCACCTTAAAATAATCAGTATAAAGAAAGAATAGTTTATAGTTGATATAACCATTCCCCTCTACCAACATGGTGACAAGGGTAAGAACTAACTTGATTCTTTGGGGGAAAGCGTTCCAACTCCTTATTCAAAAGCATTTAATACATTTTGCAAAGGAAACGGCAATGCTTAAGAGTAAATGAAAAGTGGCAGAGCACATCCAAATCATGATGCAGATCTCTATGCAAATTAATACAAGAGTTAAGATGCACAACTAAAACAACAATAGTGAGCTATCTCTTATGCATTTTGTAAGACAAGTTGTTTTTTTCTAATTCAGTGTCTTAAAATTATCCTGAGTCGTGGTAAGACATGTCTTTTAAAATCCCATTAAATTCACTATAGTGGTGCCAACACTCTAGGAGATTAATTTAATCAGAAAATACTATACATTGTTTTCAATGATCTGTATCCCTCAGGAAAGCTAAATTTGGGAACTTTTACACATAACAAAATATTTTCTATTCATTCTCTCTATTTCTTTCTGAATGAAAATTTTGAAGACTAAATATTTAAGACACAAAAAGGGGCACTTGATATAGGAACTCTCTGTACTTTCCCATCATTTTTTTCTGTAAACCTAAAATTGCTCCAAAAAATTAAAGTTTATTAATTTTTAAAGGAGGGGTGGCATTTGAAGAATGAGTGAACTCAATGTCCAATTTTGCCCAGGCAATTTTATCAGGATCCTGAATCATCCATGTCCTTGAGGAGACAGTTCAGGTGGCCCACCTGGCATATGGTAGGACGTTTATCCTTCCAGGTATCTACTCCCTTAACTCTTCTTAGGTTTCTCCTCAATTGCTGCCCTCTCTAGTCAGTTTTTTACTTACTACAGCCTCTGTCCTCAAAAGGGTGACAACAGACAGGCCACGCCAGTCTTCTTGGCTCTCATTAGCAGTTCGGTTGCTGCAATCACTGTCTAAAGTAAAATTTTGCATCATGTGTAATTTTCTCTTACCTGTGACATTCTGGCTTTCCTTTAGCTTCAAAAGAATTGAGTGCTGAACAGCATCCTCCTGCTTTTACATGTGGAGACCTTCCACTCTGTGTTCCCCGCTGCTGCAGTAACTGGCATCATCCACACCTAAATCAGGGCAGTGCAGGCAGCAGTCCCTCGCTCTACTTTGGTGCCAGTGGTGTGCTCATTGGCTGAAGGAAAAACACAAGACTTTCTGGGTCCTGAATTCAGATCCTAGAAAAGATATTTTTTCCTCTTTTCTTTATTTCAATATGCTCTATTTTGGGGAGATTTAACCAAGTGACTGGCCATATTTCACTGAAAACCAGATACTTTGTGTTTTTATTTTTAACTGCAATTTGTACAGAATTTCCCAGATGAGGAAATTTTTGATATTACCATTTCATGAAGAAATCATGTACATAAGCTCAAATATTTAGAGTTAGAAAGGATATAAGGTATAGTTCTTTACAGTAACCAGTCTTCAAGCTATGTTCTATTCAAGGCATTCATATTATTTACTCATCAAAAAAGTTTAAATTTGAGCTAGAGAGGACCTATGCAAGCACCTAGTTCACTAAAGCCTTCTAAAAATGGAGATAACCTCTAATAAGAATAGCACACATACATCAGTAACATGATTAGTACAGGATTCAATGACCCTTGTTCAGAGAATAAGGGTATTGCAATACCCTCAGACCATTTTCTCTGAGAACATTTGGAGTACATCTAGTACACAGTCCAAAGCCTGGACACTGAACTAGAGTTTTAGAAACAAAAAAGGTGCTACAAATTAACAGGTCAATTTTCCTCCTCTCCCTTCTTTTTTAAATAGATGTGGACACTAAACACCTGAGATCATGAAGGTTCAATATATCACAGCAAGTGACAGCAGATACAAGTCTAGAATACAGGTTGCCTGAATCGCAACTTGTATTCCTTTTATTTTCCTCTCACTCTTACTTAACCTTTTCATTCAATTTTTTCCTAAAAGAAGGTGTGGCAGGAACATGTTTTTATATTATGTTGCACTATCTTCCGTGGCACCGTCTTAGGGCAATCTGACTTTGTAGTATTATGACCATCTCCCCACAGGCATGTTTACTAGAGAAGTCATGTTCATGTGGTTGCTTGTGGCTAATGAAGAATCACATGACAGCCGAACTTCAGACCCACCTAAAGTCCTATGCTCCGGTGTCGTTTACCACTTGCTGTGATTTGAAGGCAGTGGTTAAAACCTCTGTGCTCTAGGCTAGATAAACCCCAATCCTTCATATTCTAAATCTCAAAAGAGTGCAGATAACAGGTGGAATAGTCAGCAAGGCACCTCCATCTTCAAGTAATGAGAGTTGCACCTCAAGATCCCAGTTCTAAATTTCCCTCAGGTTGCCAAGTAAAAAAGGCAATCGACTCTCAACACTCAGTTGTGAAAACAGTGCGCTGTCATTCTGATTACAGTCAGTAAACAGTCTGTGTTTGGCTGGAAAGAAACTGCCTAAAGCAAATGGTACCGGCAAGCAGTAGGAGAAACGCGGCTGAAGGCAACTCACAGGGCTGTCTATTGTGGCTGATGTTACAGTAGTAATATAGATCAAGGATTGTTCTGAGAATGCTGTTTGCTTTCTGTTTGTCATGTTGCCAGTTTACTTCAAAAGAGAAAGTTTCCTGCAATTCTGTTATGCTCAGATTTAAGCGGGGTTTGTGTTCCACTGCGTGCGCATGCGCCCGCACGCTTGCCTGCGTGTGTGCGTGTGCGTGCGTGTATACGTGCGCGTGCGCACACACGTTCACACACAGATTGTTCCCTTATGGACAAAGTTTTTCACTAGTGTTTCTTGGTCCGAAATCCTATGATCTAAGTAAAAAAGCAACAGTCTGACAAAATAAAATAGAAAAACTATCAATTCAGAGAGAGTGGGCTCCGCCTTTTAGAATATCTCAGAATAGGGACTTGCCCCCCCCCTTTTTTTTTTAGTTGCCCCCTTTCTTAATTCACGCATTTGTTCATGGGTTAGATCACTTGGAAGAGGTTAGATCACTTGGAGTAGGGGAAAGGTATATCCAAACAAAGCAATATCCAGTGGAAACATAATGAGACCCACATATGTGCTTTTAAATTTTCTAGATGCTAACATCAAAAAAGAGAGACAAAATGAAGTGAATTTTATTAATGATATATTTTATTTAAACAAATACATCCAAACTATTATCATTCCAAAGTTTGGCACTGACCCACATTTCAAGTGCTCAGTTCCTACGTGTGGTCAGTGGCTACCACATTGGATAGGATGTTTTAAAATGTTTTTTAGGTAATTGTATTCAACAGATTTCCAATAATTTCCTGCTTACTATGATAGGTAGTCAATAAGTCCTTCTCCTCATGGAATTTAATAGTAAATATAGAAGCAATAAGGCGCATCCTCAATAACAACAGAAGGCAGAATATTATAATTATTGTAAAAAAAAATTAGAGACTAAATATGTGTTTGCTGAACTCATATTTGCTAAATATGAGTTCAGAGGAAGGCAAAATCACTTTTTACTCAGAATCGCGATACAATAAGGCTTGGAGTGTAGGAAGGATTTTAACAGGCAACAATCGGTGGGGAATGGTTTTCAAGAAGAAGGAACAGTTTTGAATGCAAGACAGCAGAAGCTGGGGTTTTTCAGGCAATGACAAACAGATGAGTTTGACTAGAGAAGAGCATATATATGTAGAGAATGTAGGATGAAGCTGGAGAAATCAATTGGTAAAATAGTTGTAGAAAGACTTTGATTACTCTTCCCTCCCAAAAATGTCATTGGATTTGATGGCAGTGCTTAATAGCCATGTGGCCTTGGGCAAGTTACTTATCCTCTCTGTACCTTATACTTTACTTATCTGCCAAATGAGGACAACAATTATCCAGTTGGTGTGAATACTAAATGAACTAATCTCTGCTTGGCCAGTGTAAGTGCAAGTGCATGCTTAATCCATGTTCTCTATTATCATTTTTGTTAACTTCTCTTAAGATATTTTGGAGTAGGAAACACCTTGAGTAAAGTATTCAGTCCTCAATTTGCTTTGTTTTAAAGAGAGTCTAGTAAACTTGGCATAGTTATACAATTATCTTTGTCCTAAAGAGGATTTTACTGTATGTATTTTGATCTATATTAAATAGAACTACATAATTAGGAAATATGTTCTCTATAGAGACTTTGGCCATTGTTCCTACATAGAGTCCTTTTATGTCTTATCCTGCTAATAGCTGGTTGGTACAAAACTAAGTTACCCTATTTACTCAACCAATCCCTTATTAGTGGACAGTCTGTTTTTTCTAGACCTTGCTACCATAAACTATGTTGCCATAAACAGAATACATGACATTCTAAAGAGTGGGCAGAATTACAAATAATAAATCTAAATTAAAATTATTAAATTTTATGAGAAGCCAAAATTAAATAATTCATTGATTCAAAAAATATTTCTTAAGCACCTACTAAATGCCATGCACTGTTTTAAAACATGTGAATCATTGGCGAACAAGAAAAGACTCCAAAAAGCAAATATTCCAGCCCCTGTGAGGCTTGTGTGCTACCCAGGAGAGACAGAAAATGAATAATAAACATCATAAGTAAATTATATAGTACATAATAAGGTGATAAGTGCTTTGGAAACAATACTGCAGGGTAAGGGACTGGAAGGGAAGCATGAGTAGGTCTTTTTAAGAAGGCAAACTTTTGTCCAAGATTTGAAGGAGACAGAGAGTTAGTCATTCAGCTTACTAGAGGAAAAGCATTTCAGGGTGAAAGAATAGTATGTGTGTGCATCCAGAGGACAGCCAGAAGCCAGCTTAGCTAGAAAGAACTGAAAGAACAGGACACTAGCAGGAGGTGAGTTCATCTAAATAACCAGAAGGTCAGATCATAAGGCTTTGTAAGCGATTGTAAGAATTTTGCTCTTTATCCTGGGTAGTTCCTAGGGGCTTCTGAGGAGAAGAATGATATGATTTGATTTTTGTTTTCCCAAGATCACTCTGACTGCTGGGGTGAAAGTAGCCTATATAACACTCATGCTGGAAGCAGGGAGACAGAAAGCTTTTGCAGGCTTCTATAAAATCCTGCAATAAATCGTTTCAAGGTTCCAGGATTAGAGAAATTACACCACAGGACACTGAATGAATAAAAGACTGAAGAAGCTATGATTATCATCTTTGAGAAACCATAAAAATGAAAGTGATATGACTGGTATTAATGTTCCTAACTTCAAAAAAATAAAACACAAAACATAAAATTCTAGATTCTATAAGCTAGGCATTGTCAAAGTGTGGTTCCTGGGCCAGCAACATCAACATTACCCATGCATTTGTAGAAATGAAAAAAGTTGGGTTCCACACATATCTACTGAATCAGTAATGCTGGGGCGGGGCCCAGAACACTGTGTTTGAACAAAAAGCTCTCCAGGTGATTCCGATGCTAATTTTAAAGAACCACTGCTTTGAACTAGATTGGTGAAACCAGATGGCCTGAAATATCCTTCCCAATTTTAGGATACTGTGCTTCCAAGTTCAATTTTTAATATTTATTTTCATTATAAGATTAAACATATTCCTTGAGAAAAAGGGTTCTAAGAAGCATAGAATCATGCCTAAGAATGAATAAATCTTTTCAATTATATGCTTGAGGGATTCAATTTTTATTTATTATATTTCATCTTTTAAAAAGTAAAGTGGTATATTACTTTTTTTAAACTTCTAGTGCAATACATAGTTGAAAACAAAGAAAATGGAGAAATTGTTAAAGATACACCATTTAAAGACTGAGGATTAATGAAGCTATTCTTTTAAAAGGTACATTCAGCTCTGAGCCTCCTGGGCTCAACATTTTTAGAGTAAAGGCAGAAATGAATTTTATACAACACACAGAAAGAAATCTCAGATTTTAAGTTAACACGGATCACCATGAAGGTGGTGAGATTTATTACAAGGAGAATCTCTAGAGCACCCCGAGAAGTGGGTATGTGGTTTGTTTCCTAGACAACATTCCAGTATTTCACTTCATGGTATCTTGGTGGTTTGGCCATTTGAAGTTACCTCTTTCATAAGGACCTCAAGTCTTAAAACCAAATGAGCAGATGGTAGGTAGGGCTGTTACCCATTACAGAAGTTAAAGAGCCAAGCAGGGTTCCCACCCAGATGGAAGGCTGCCCCTTTCTCATGGAGAAATGCTGCCAAAGACCTGCTGGCAAATTCTGTGAGTTTTTCAGTGAGCAGCCTCAGGTCTGCTTCAGCCCTTGCACTAAGTGTCGAGAGACAGCGTTTTATAGTCTAAGGCATGCTACAAATGGTTTTGATCTGGAAAATTCTGAAGTAGGTATATCATGTAGCAGCATAAAGGAAGATAAAATGGATTGAAAGGAAAGAAAATAGCATAAATGGCCAGAAATAGTGAAAGGATAAGGCAAAATGATGCTAAAAACAATGGGGCTACAGTAAAATGAAAATTTTAAAAACACTGGGACTAAAAGATTTTAAAGGATAAATAAATTGTCATAATAAGCTAAAATAACACAAAAGGGAATATAAACAACTGAACTTACCTCTATAAAATTAAATTGTTGATATTAGTCTTAACAATAGCATTAATAATAAATACAAATAGGTTAGCTAAAATAAAATTAAAGCAACTATGTTCAAGATTCCTACCTTTTCAAGAGAAAGCTTCCATCGTGCTCTTTGAGCTACCACTTCCTTGTTTGTGAAATGAAAAATTTCCCTTAAATTTCTAACATGCTATAATTCTATTAAGATAATTTCAAATGCAAGCTAACCATTTTTGAGAGATGTCCAAGTCCAACACACACAATAGGTCATCTGAAGGCAGTTTCTGAACCATAATATCTCATCACTTTCTAAAGGGAATTCACTGAGTTTACTTTTAGCCATTACAAGAAGACTTATTTGATTAAAGCTAGTATGAGTCTTTGCAAAAGTAAATTTAAAATATCTCTTGAGCATGTTACTTAGTTTCCCTTATGCTATATCTTAAGCAAACTTTCTTTCTTTCAGTTTAGTTCTTGAAGAAAGGTTGCTTTTTATATACAACTTTTGGGAATTGTGTTTGTTTTGTTTTTCCTAAAATAGAACAAATTCATGTAATCCGGTGTGCTTCCATTTTTAATTAGCTACTGGGGGACACTTAGAACTAAATTCCAGCCTTGATCTTAGAAAGCACTCATATCATATTCATAGTAATCTCTACTCTCTCTCTTTTTCTTTTAGAGCATCCTTTTTCAAATTGTAGTTTATATACTACTTGCGCCAAATTCACTTGGGGAGCTTATTAAAAATGCAAGTCCATGGGCCCTGCCTCAGGCCTACTTTTTTCAGAATCTCCAGAGATTGAATGCAGAAATCTGCATCTTTAACTAGTAACACATGTGATTCTTATGCTCACTGACTATCAGAACTACTTTAAAAAAATCCAATTTTATATCATGGTTAATCTGTAAGCTATGGTCTGCTTTTAAAGGTGAGTGAGAGAGGAATCTTATTAAGATATAATGTTTGGAATTTGTGGTCTAAATTGGAATATAAGTTCATCCATGTGCAGAAATTACTGCAATTTCCCATGGGTATGTGGGATTGAAAAAAATCTCTCCCCTTTGAAGCCCCGGCCATGAAATATATTTCCTCCGATCTGTACATCAGTGATTTTCACCAGGATAGGGAGACAAGAGAGAACTCAAGCAAATCAGAAACTTGTGGGATGCTTTCTCAAACGCCACTCTTTTACTCCTCCTTAACTTATTCCTTCTTTGATGTTCAGCCCTCCCCACCTCATCCTCCTCTACCCCCAGCAGAAAGCGCTCAGATATTTTATTAGAAGTGTATCTAAATAGATATTTTGGTTATTTACCATCACGCTCATTATATGTCAAGCTGGAGGTCAAAGTATTTAAAACCTAGTTTCTCGTGTGCTGTAAAGACAAGAAAAGTAGCATTAATTAAGCTTGTGGCTGTGAAGTAGAGAGAACTAACATTTATTAAAGGATTATGAATTTATTTAACAATCTAATGCTCAATCTCTGATGCATGGGCCTGTCCAATGGGTATTATTAATAGTATTATTGTCATTTTATAAAAAAATAATAACCACAGTACTATGATTACTATTATCACTACTACTAATACTATAAAACCTCCAGCTTTTATGGAAAACCTACTTTATATGAGCTATTGTATGAGTAAATTTATATGTATGTATGTATGTATCTATGTATGTATAGATGAAGTATATATGCATATACCATGAAGTGAGAGGTAAGAGAGGAGAGGCAGAGGCCAGATCACTTGCACACTTTGCTAAAGAGATTGATTCTATGTCACTGAACGCCAATGACAGATTTTAATAAGGGTAGGATATATGTTTTGGAAAAATCACTCTGGTGACAGAATAGAGCAAAGAATGGTAGTTTAGGAGAGAGTTCATCTGAAGAAAAAGATTTTAATAGACTATGTATAAAATTTTGAAAGTGAGATTTAATGTTGTTTTGTCACAGCAAATGGTAAAGGGAGAATCACTTATCCTATTATTGGTGAAAATCCATGACCAGTTTGGCTTATGAGCTTTGTATAAGTGAATTGAAGTAAATATAGTTTTTAATACCAATTGCTGACTTTAGAATTTACATATATTGTCCTTTGAAATAATTATTATTCGTTTAACTGTGCCAAGCCATTGCTATTGGTTATAGCTGAAAGGAATATGACATCCTGTTATTACATTTAGGTTAATATTATGGCTTGGTATAGCAGGCTGGCTTTTCACCACAGCTTGTCTAAAAGGTACTCTTAGAAGCTGTCAACAGAAAAAGCCAAACTCTGTAAAATAATTTTAAAGAGATTTATTCTGAGCCAAATTTGAGGATCATGACCTGGAGCCACTGCCAAGAGGCCTTGGGCAAGTGGACTCGCTGTGGCTGGGTTACAGTTCAGTTTTATACATTTTCAGAGAGACAGGAGTTACAGGCAAAGTTACAAATCAATACATGATAGGCATACATTGGTTTGGCCCCAAAAGGTGGGACATCTCGAAGGGGGGGTGGGGGGCTTACAGGTTCTTTGGCTGGCAATTGGCTGAGAGAGTTAGACTTTATCTAGAAGACCAGAAAGGATATGCTTACTTTAAGATAAGGGTATGAGCACTCTGGGAGGTCTATACAGGAGGACATTTTAAATTTACAATAGGCACCTGCTAGGATGCTTGAGTTAAGATATTTTAAATTTATGATAGGCATCTGCTAGGATGTTTGAGTTGAAGACAGGGGCTTCCTATCTTTTAGGTGATGTTAATGCAATACCAGAATCAGGTTGGGAAGTAAACCACCGCTTTATTTGGTTAACAAAAGCTGCTGAGTAGGAATTTACCATTTGTTAGCCTGACCCAGCTGGCCTCCTTAGGAAAGAGTTTTTAGCAAAAGAAAAAGATCAGAGTTCAGTCCTCAAACTCATAGAATAGGGTTCATTTTTCTTATCTTAGCAAGCCAGTCAAACTGGGGTTTAGGTGGAGAGGAAAAAGAGTTAGAAAAGGAACTAGAATAATGATCCAAAACACCAATGTTGACCACACATTCCACTAGTCCACCTGTTTGGTCTTTGAGGTATTTGAGGGAAAGAGGCCAAGGGGAAAAAGTCAGGAGGGGAGAGGAGAGAAGGAAGTAGGAGGTGAAGAACAGGAAGATGCCAGCTGCCTTCAGAAAAAGTATATGAATCAAGGCTGCCAAAGAAAGAAGGAGAGCCCCCATTCCACCCTGGGATTCTGGTCCTATGATTTTTTTTTGTTTTGTTTTGTTTTTTAGAGACAGGGTCTTGCTCTGTCGCCCATGCTGGAGTGCAGTGGTACAGTCGTAGCTCACTATAACCTCGAACTCCTGGGCTCAAGTTATCCTCCTGCCTCAGCCTCTTGAAGGGCATGCTGCTTACAAGGATCAAATATCCTTCTCTCTTGATCTCAGGCTATAAATAAAGTACTAAAACACAGACCCAGAGCCAGAACACCCACTTCATTCCAAATGCCAAAGATGCCGGGTTAATTTTACCTGTGTTCTCTTTTTACACAGATCATGGAGCAGGAAAGCTGAAGCCACGCCCCATCTGAGTTTTTCAGAGATGAGATATCTGTCAAGGATTCATGGCAGAGTGGCTCTCTGGGAAAAAAACACAAAGTCTCTTCCAGGGCTATTATAAGAACAAGTGAAGTGGCCTAGAGCTTTTCCGGGAAAAGGTGCTGTGACTATCTAAGGTACCTAAACTAATTCTGAGTATAAATTTGCGTTTGTGGAAAGTAAACTAAAATCTCTACTAGCTAACAAGGACAGCTGTAGCAGGACAACAAGAAGAGTGATTTCCTTCCTCCCTGCTGGTTTTTTCCTCCAAAGAAGCAAACAGGCGGATGGAAATGTGGCAGAGATGACCTCAGGGAATGGAATGATGCCAAAGGCTATTGATGTAAGAAAGAGAGATTAACCTAGCTTTTTATCTCTTTTTCTTTTCAGAGAGACAGTCATCCTGTGTATTTAGTAAATTACCCAGGATTGTATTTACTTTGACTTTTATTATATTTGTTTGGTAATTGGATCTGTAGCTCACCACATTGTATGGGGTAAAGTATTTGGTCTTAAGCTGGCTTCTGAACTGGCCAAGTTTTTGAACTGACCAAAGAGTACTTATTTATTTGCTGCATCAAACTGTCTAAAATTATCTTAGTCAAGAAGGATATTTATTGAACAGAACAAGCAGTGCAGAGGTTGTTTGGGTCCAAGAGCTGAGTGATCCATCAGAAGCCCAGGGGTAAATGTGTCTCTGTGATCTGCCACCCTCACTGTGTCAGCTTTGCCCTGAGATTGGCATCCCTTCTGGTTTTAGGTTGGCTGACATAGTGCCATTTATCATATCCCAATGCAAAAAGGGCCAGAGGACAGAGGATGCTGTCTCCTCCTTGGTCTCTTCGGAGTGAAAAAACATTTCACAGACACCCACTTGCCAGAATTCTCCTCACCTTTCATTGGCCAGAATCATAATGCTAATCAATGATTAGCAAGGGGCTTAGGAGAGGCGTCTAGAATGGAATGGATATGGGTGTGTCAAAGACACAATTTACTTCAGTTTGCAGGCATATAGTAGAAAAATTCAAGAGTCAACAAAACCAATAATGCTGATTGGTCTATTAAAATGTTGGCTTAATATCTGTTCTTAGTTAGCAGTTGTCTCTTCAAGCTTACACCTATCTGATAAGGACAAAGTGACAGAGAACATCAACCCCTAAAAACTAATTATTATTTCCAAGGTAATTGTCCTGAAGACAGAGATGAGCTCACAATTTTTTTACTAAGCTATTATTTTTCACAGTCATGACGTTGAATCCCAGTGAAGACAGGCAGTTTACCTCTTGTTAAACAGGTAGCAAATTAATAAATAATATCCATGTGTTGACAATCATGTGTTTAGCTAATAAGAAGGGAACAATAGTAAAGAAAGTCTAGATTCTTTCGTATTTGGCCATGACATAATAATATCCTTGCTGTAGAGTTACTTTCTCCTTAGGTTTATTCTGACTAATAGTAACACTGAATTCCTTGACAACACACTGAGAGCAAGAGGTATATGACATAGAAGAAACTAGCTTAGAGTTTTAATTTACCTTTAAATAACCCAAAAGTGGTTAACATACATGCGAACACACATCTGTTAAGTATGGATTTTATGTTTATTAATTCATTTCTGTTTGCTTTCTCTTCTACATTAAAATAAAAATGAGGACTATATTGCTACATTTTTTAGGTTATACCACTCCATCCTTGACTCAGGGCTCCGTACATTGTAACCTCTCAATAAGGTAGCTGATTTATCCTACTACCTTTTAAGCAAATATGAACTAAGAACCTTCTTATTTTGTAGGCTTAGAGACCCAGACTTTTTTTCTGAACTCTCCAGGTTTAAATCCTGGCTCCTTGGCATATTACTTTTATAACTTGGATGAGTTATCTAACCTACCTGCACCTCAGTTTCTTGATCTGTAAAATGAGAATAATAACAGTACCAACCTCATAAGACTATAATAGTGATTAACTGAGCTAATTTGCATAAATTACACAGAAGTATTTAAGACATAGTACTTACTCAACAGAATTTTATCTGTTATTATTGAATCTTCACATCACCTGGGTAGGAAGCCACATCGACCAAGTATTATTTCAAAACTCTTTTGAAATATAAAAAATAGTGTTTAATTTGGCCTTGGAGTGTTTCCAGTATTATCATTATAATGTGCTGAATTCTCTATCTGTGCCATCAATAAAATATTATGCTGTTGGTCACATTGCAACCTGAGAATAGATGGTAAATACTGGATAATCATTAGCCCAAAATGAAAATTCCGTTGGAAAAAATAAATAATTTTCTTCAATTGGACGGTAGTTAATTGGTCGATCTTGGCTTTTAAATTATGCTTTTCCTATACTAGTCTCTTTTACTAATACCAAGAAAACACAGCATCCTTTCCTCAGTAATGGACCCAGTCTTTCCCAACAACTCACACCCTTCTCATCAAGGACATGAAAATACATTATGGAGTTTTTTTCTGATATCTCAAGTTGTATGACATCGAGCAACTTTCCATCCATGAAGACGGCAAATTTACAGCCTTCTGACATAATTTTGTTTCCATGGGAACAGACCAGAACTAATCGATTTTGTCTGCAACATAGTCATAAAAATTCCCACAGAGAGAGAAAGAGAGACACGACTGATACTAACAAGTTATAGACCAATACGATTCACTGAACTGACTGCTGTTCTGGAAAATTAGGCAAGATTAGAACACATGGGCCATATGACTAACGGCAAAAAATATTTTGCCTTGGTGATGCCACAGCATATCCCAAATGTTTACTGTGTTATTTTTCTAGATTCTGATTCATTAATAAATATAAATTTTGTATTCATTATATTTGTTGGTATCACAGACTTTCATAAGCTTATGTTAGTATCATAGCACACTGATACGCAAGCTTATAAAACTGAAATGAGCTATACAAATCACTTTTTGTAGTTATATACAGCTTATCTTTTTTTTTTTTTTTTTTTTTTTTGAGACAGAGTCTCACTTTGTTGCCCAGGCTAGAGTGAGTGCCATGGCGTCAGCCTAGCTCACAGCAACCTCAATCTCCTGGGCTCAAGCAATCTTTCTGCCTCAGCCTCCTGAGTAGCTGGGACTACAGGCATGCGCCACCATGCCCGGCTGATTTTTTTCTATATGTATTACTTGGCCAATTAATTTATTTCTATTTATAGTAGAGACAGGGTCTCGCTCTTGCTCAGGCTGGTTTTGAATTCCTGACCTGGAGCAATCCGCCCACCTTGGCCTCCCAGAGTGCTAGGGTTACAGGCATGAGCCAATGCGCCAGGCCTCAGCTTAGACCTTTAAAGAGACAAATATGTCAACTATAATAGAAAAAAATCACAAAAGTGTTTGTCAGTAAACATTTTAGAGAAGATTACTTAGCTTCTTTGGGCCTGTTCTTCATTTATGTTAAAGTAATAGAGAGTTGGACTAATTGTTAAATCCAGTGTATGCCTTTTAATTAGCATCTGGGAAATTTCTCTTTGGCATCTAGGTAATCGTTGACAACTTCATTTTCTATTATCCTCTATGTTCCATCTACTTAAAAATTGGTACTCATGTGAGTCGCTCCTCTTCATCTTTCCATTCTTTTCCCCTAGGCCACGTCATGCATATTCTTAGCTTCAGCTTCCACCAGTGACTCCTTAATCAACATTTCCCCAGCCCAGACAGCTTTCCTGAGTCTCACCCCCATATTTTAACTATAAACCCAGATGTCCCATGGGCATCTCAAATGAAACAGGTCACAAACACAATGCATTATTGTGCCTTACGAATTTCCACTTCTCTGTTGGGTTAATGTCAACTTGCAGCTTAAGCCTGAAACCTGGGAGTTTAAACCCATAGCTCTTATTCACTCTTCACATTACGTCAGTCACAAAATCTCATTTTTCTCTCTTTCCTATAATTATGCATTGAATACAGTCTCCTGACCAGAGTTTTTCTCCCTAACTTATTGATGGCTTACTATCTTGTGCTCACTGTGCTCACATTTTAGGTGCATTTTCTCATTTAAATGTTACGTTAACTCTGAAATATGTGCTATCATTGCTATGATTATCTCCATGCTACAGCTAGAGTGCAACAGAGCCGGGGCTTGAATCTACTTCTGATTGTCAAGTCTGTGCCGTTTAGTACTAGGGCTGTAGTCAGATCCTCTTCTCTGCTGCTTTAGTTTGCCGAATGGTGTCCCACTGCTTTCTTTTAGGGCAGCTGTTCTCAAAGTGTTTTAGACAACTGGGAACCCTGGGACTTCTTTTGTGGAGGAGGAGCTGTGAGGTCTGAACTATTTTTGTACCAAAATACCAAAATGCCATTTACCTTTTTTGCTGCTTTAGCATTTGCACTTTTAGTGTAAAGTCATTAGATTAAATCTGCTAATGCTTTAGCAGGAATCAAGGTAGTAGCATCAAACTGTAGGAGCAGTTCTTGTTTACTTCTCTGCTGTGTACTCTCAGTAAGAAAAGCAATGGCAGTTCACATAAGAAATCTCTGATGAAGCAGTAAATATTAATTTTGCTCAATCTCAACCCTAAAGAATGCATATTTTAATATTCTGTATGATGAATGGAAGATATGCATAAAGTATTTCTGCTGCATATGGAAGTACCCTGGTTGTCTCTAGAAAAAGCTCTTGTATGATTGTTTGAGTCAGGAGTTGAATAAGGCACTTTTATTTTTTTTTCATGGAACACCATTTTTACTTGAAAGAATAACTGACAAACCATGGTTATTCAGATTTGGGTATGTGGCACATATTTTCTCACAAATGAACAAAGGGAAAGCCTATCACTTTAGGAAAAGCAAATGACAGCATTTGTTGTCAATGTTAAAATTGGAGCTTTCAAGTGGAAATTGGAATTTTGGAAAACTTCTACTTGCCACTGGGAGCTTGACAACTATTGGGAAATAGATGACAACTTTTCTCATGACACCAGCGGTGATATTAACAAATGTGTTTTTTTGCAAATAATATGATGAAATTTGTCAAAATTTAGAAGATCCACAAAACCATGTGCTGATAAGTTCCAAATCATGCATGATGAAAAAAATCATGCATGAGTAATTAAAAGATCTATTCAAAGGATAAGATAGATCAAAAGTTCATGGATATGTTTTCA